AAAAAAAAAAAAAAAAAAAAAAAAAATCCAGACACCAGCTTCCCAATTCTGGGTAGGGCCCTGTTCCCTCCCCAGTTCCCAAAGGCCATGGCAGCTGCCACCGAGGCAGCTGAAACCAACACTTTGTTTCTCTCCCCACCTCGAGATCCTTCTCCAGTGTGAGATGCACAGGGGCCAAGCAAACACCTGGGAGAGGTGACAGGCAGTACATTACACCTGAGACCAGGACTTGGACCTCTAGTCCAGCTGGAAGAATTTTCACAGGGCCATCTATGGCAACGAACCTACGAGGATTCTCTATGACTTTCGACATCAGCTACAGGCTCCGGGCGTATTGGCCGGTGCACAAGGACACTTAAACCTCCTTCCTGTCCCACTTGCCCAAGTCTCCTTCCAAACAGGGCAGTTCCCACAGTCCCCAACCTTCCCCTTCACTGTCTCCATCTTGTCCCCACCCTCCTGCTTCTCCCACCAAGGGGCACTGTTCCTGTTCCCCCTACCATCTGTCCCGGCCACACCATGTCTCCTCCTAATTCCTAGGAAATCCTAACCCCTAGTACCTCAGAAGGTAACAATATTTGGAGATGAGGTCTCTAAAAAGGTCATTAAAATGAGATCTTTGGAAGAGGCCCTCATCCACTGTGACTGGTGTCCTTATAAAAAGAGGAAATTTGAATGCAGAAACACATGTGCACAGAGGAAAGGCCATCTGAGGACACAGCAAGAAGAGGCCATCTACAAACCAAGGAGAGAGGCTTTAGAAGGAACCAACCATGTAGACACCTTGATCTTGGACTTCCAGCCTCCAGAACTGTGAGATAATCAATTCTATTGTTTATGCCCCCCAGTCTATATAGTACTTTGTTATGGCGGCCGTAGCTAATACACCATCTAATCCATCCTCCAGTCAAGACTTCGTCAAACTAATTAAAGACACTTTGATTCAATTCGAGCAGAAGGGAGCTCACCACTTCCCACACTCTGGGCACAGTAGGGCCTGGCCTCAATGAAGAATGTGATACAGTGAGCATCTTTTCATGATGCTGCTGGAGGCTTCTGGTGTCTCACTGAATGTATCGGGTCATTGCCTGACTCGAAAAGTTCCTCTTCCAAGGCAGCATCTTATCAATTAAAATCATTCTTAAGAGAAGCGCTACTCGCCAAATTGAAGCCGGGATGTTTATGACCCTCGGTTGGAAATCGTACCTCCTGTGAGCAGCAGAAGGGCAAGGGCTAGGTGAGAAAAATGGGGAGATGCTCTTGGTACTCCTTATTAATTCAATCCACCCTCTCTCTTGAGAGTGTCAAGGAAATGTCCTTTATCCTCTCTGGAAGTACCCAGATGTAGCTGGACATTGGGGTCCAGAGTCCACAGTGGATGAGATGCAGGTGTCCCCCCACGTCCCCAAGATGAGGCCAGATGACGCTGGCTCACAATGCTGCTGTCAGCGAAACCCCCTGAAAGGTGGCAGTGACACCCCATCACAGGTATCACCCAAGCTCCAGGGAGCATCTCTGAAAGGCACCTTGGGCTTGCTGCACACGAGGTGATGCATAGAAACCTCCTCAAAGCACACGTGGGGCCTGGTGCAGGGATTTTAGGCTCTGGTGCTCCCTGTAATCACAAACCACACTCCTCAGCAAGTGAGGTATGAGGGCCCTGGCAAGAGTCCGGGAGCTGTCCCCAATAAGAGGAGGGCTTCAGCAGGCTCGACGGCACAGAACTAAGAGACGGTGCCTCCAGACCTGTGCTCAGCCCCTGACTCCACAATTTCAGAGAAATGGGAGAACCCACTGTGCCATCACCCCTACTCCCTGCCCCCCGCCACCCCAAACGCACACACACAGAGACGTGTCATCACCTGGAAAGGACCCGCTGGGCTGTGGAACCAGTTTCACCTGAGCCCAGGTATAAAACCATTTCTAACTAATGCCATGGGAAATTATCTGGCACAGAGAAAATCAAGTCAATGGGGAGATGGAGAGAGAAAGGGGAAAGAAGAACAAAAACCTTGCTGGGATCACTGCTCTCAGGAGCCCGAACTTACTGGTTCTTGGAAGTAGAGCTGGTAATCAAAAATAGGATTGGCTTTGATTTTCTCCATCGTAGGTACACTGGGATCGGCTGGTATGAAGGGAGTATTCAAACTGGCCACTGCCCTGTGGAAAGAAGATACCAAGATGTAGACGTTGTAAGAAGACAGTATGTAAAAACCAGACAGGACCTTACTATCAACACGAAAGCTCAGAGCAGGAAAGGGAGATGCATGAGATCTCATAACAGCAGTGTGGGGGAGAATGGGGTCAGCAGTCCAATTGCTTGACTCCCAGCCCGGCGGTTTTTTCCTCACTGAACTGAAGTATTTCTCACCTTCTTGCCTTAGACACAGACACACATACACACTGTGCGTGTCATGTCAACCTTGGTTAGATTATAGTTTTAAAAAATGCATTCATTTTGGGGCACCTGGGTGGCTCGACTGCTTAAGCGTCTGACTTCAGCTCAGGTCATGATCTCTGTTTGTGGGTTCGAGCCCCACGTCGGGCTCTGTGCTGACGGCTCAGAGCCTGGAGCCTCCTTCGGATTCTGTGTCTCCCTCTCTCTGTGCCCCTCCCCTACTCGCACCCTCTCTCTCAAAAATAGACGAGCATTAAAAACATTGTTTTCAAATGCATTCATTTTGCCTTCCTTCTTTTCCTCCCTTAACTCTGTGCTAATTTTATGCTGTGTACTAAGGGAGAGAAGATATAAAATCAATACTAGATGAGCTCATTATAATTTTAAAAAGCTAGACAAATATACCCATGACTATACTACAAGATGGACTGTGATATGAGCCATAAGACTAGCACAAGCACCACGGGAGTTCAAGGAGACGAAGAGTTTCTAAATTTGGGCATCACAGAAGATGTCATGCAAAAGCGAGCATTTGAACTTGGTTTTTAAGGGTCGGAGAGAGCAGGGGAGGGGAAATGATACTGTAAGGGAGACATCATGGGGTAGCATGAGCAAATTCTAGAAGCGGGCAAAGCTGGTGGCTGAGTTTGACAGGGCAAAGAATCTATGTGGCCAAAGGCAAGCGTTTAATGGGGCATCTTGTGAAATAAAGCCAGCAGGGCAACTGGGAGCCTAGACATGAAGGGCCCTGAATCTGGATTAGATGCTGCAGAAAACCAAGACAACCATGAGAGCTTCTGAGAAAAGGGGAGAGTAGACAAAAGTTGCAGTCAGGAAGTGATGGGTCAAGCAGGAATACATGACATGGATGCAGAGAGGGACACACCAGAAAGCCAGGAGAGGGCCAGCACACTACATTATACACAAAGTCATCCGAGGGGAACGGGATGGCAGATGTGGGAATAAAAGAGATGGGTGGATTTGAGTGACCACAGGAAGGCAGGACTGACAAGCCGACCAGCACAGTTAGTCTGGTGAAGTGATCCTGTGCCCACTGTGATCCTAAAGAAACTCCTTCCCAAAAGAGAAGCAGAGAGGAGAGAATATGTGGGGGAGATAAAAACTAGAAGGAACAGGATAAGCAGGACAATTGAAATAATCAGGGAAAGCAGTGGTGAGGCTTTCCCAGTGCCAACAAACAGAAATACAATGTGAGCCACACGTATAATTTAGAATTTTCTATTAGCCACTTAAAACAAGTAAAAAGGAACACGTGAGATTAACTGAAAATATTTAAAATTTGAAATCTAATGCTGATTTAAATACTTAAATATTCAACCCAATATATTTAAAATATTAATCATTTCAACATGCCGTCAATATAAAAATTATTAATAAGATATTTTACCTTTTCTTTTTTTGCTATCAAGTCTTTGAAATCTGGAAGGTATTTCCTACATAGAGTAATCTCAATTCGAACCAGCCACATTTCAAATGTTCAACAGCCACCAAAGACAGTGCAGGTTAGGCTACAAAATAAGTTACCCTGATGTCTAAAGGTTTCCAATGTTATCACAGTGAACCTATTTTAAGCATAACTTAAATCACAAGTCAAGAAATTCTAGCTTTTGCTTAAAATTCTGAGCTGAATAGGATTTTCTTTTCAATTGCCTTGACATACAGTTTATTCAATATATAAAAAAATTATCATCACATGAGATGTTAGCATGTAAATGCTGCTGCCAACTGCATTAAGATTGGAAAAAGCTAAACCACAGCCTCCTTTTGGGAGCAGAGTCTCTAGATAATTGTCACAGAAAGGATGTAAAAAGGTATTCTTGCAAACAAGTGAAGCAACTCTTACATTAAATAGATCCCTGCAATTTATCTCAGTAGAATGCCAAAACTAAGGATTTAAAGAAATATTCCACACTAAAGGTGGGTTTTCCCTTTTCATTCATTATCTGGCTAGAAATGTGAAGATCAATGCCAAAGATTTTTTTTTTTAATTTTTTTTAAGTTTATTTATTTATTTGGAGAGAGAAAGAAAGAGCACGGGTAGGTGAGGGGCAGAGAGAAGGAGAGACAGAATCTCAAGCAGGCTCTACGTCATCAACGCAGAGCCTGATGAGGGGCTCGAACTCATAAACTGTGAGATCATGACCTGACCTGCACCAAGATTGAGTGGGATGCTTAACCGACTGCGCCACCCAGGCACCACAATGCCAACAATATTCTTAAAAGCCAGCTTTGCCCCTGGAAGGGGGTCCTGGCTCCTTCCCTCTCCTCCAGGAATGCAGCAACAGGGCTGTTCTGATGAGCATAGATGGAAAAGGAGCAACTACTACCAAACTAATGACAGGATGGAAGCAGAACAATGAGAAGAGGAACAGGAATCCAGAGCATGCTTATGTATCCCAGACTTAATGTTCTTCTGGGCACAACTTTACTGGGCTCATGTTAAATATTTTCAAAGTCTCACAGGAGAGAGACAGAGACTACGTTTAATAAAACAACAAGAAGGTGTTTCACTTCCTTCAAGGTAGAGATCATAAGCTTGTTGCTCTAGTTCCTTTTACCCCTTTCAAGAAGCATCTAATACAGTCTACAGAGTAACTTTCTAGTGACCCAACTGCTAAGAACTGAGCTCTTATTTCAACTGAGTGAAAGAGAGGACAGAGAGAGAAGCTAATGAGATCAGAGGGACAAGAGTGCAAAAACTTTAAAAATATTTCAGGAAGTGTTTGATTCACGTTGGTCTTCGATATCATCCTACCATTTGAGCTGATGTTGAGCTGAACAAAGTTCTCCAGTGTTTCCATTATAAACTCAATGAAAGAAAAAGTGACTGGATTAGTTGGGGAAATACAGATAGCTAAGGATGATGTTGATTTAATACGCTAAGATCCCAAGCTGAAATAGGAGGTCACACAACATGCTTTAACTACAGTTGCCAGCACAACTGGGGGATGGCTACTGGGGAACTCTCTGGGTTCAAAATCTGTCCTTTGAAAGCTCCCGCGAATGCTCTGATGCCATTCTAAGAATGACTGTGAACGATGTGATGGTGGTCACAAAATGCCATTCTAACCTGATACCTGCACAGCATTTTGCAGGTTATATAGTCAAAAGGAGTTACCATTACTATGCTATCGTTGAGGAAACCAAGGCCTAACGGGTGAAATGATTCATCACACAGCCAGTCATGGCAAAACTGAAAGGCACGTTTCCTAACTCCTGGTCCAGGGCTGAAGTTTCTCCTGGCACTCAGCTCTATTGACCCCACCACCCTTGCTGCCTCACCCACTCCCCCCAAACATCTACATTCTCCTACATTCCCACTGGCTACCCAGGCCCTGAGTTATCTGTCCCATTACTGGTAACTGGGACAGGCCTTGCTTCCTAAGACATTAACTCATCAATGGGCACTAAGAAGTTACATGTTGCCTTCCCAGATAATCTATTTGTTCTCAAGAAGTTGACTGCAGTTCAAGACCTGAGGAAGGATTCTAACAGGAATTCAAGTCCAAACTCTGGGCCAAATTCTGCGGCCTAATTACCTCACTCTCTCCGGGTAGAAGAGAGCCATGTTCCACACCAGCATGCCTCCCCAGTCGTGGCCAATGAACACTGCTTGAGTGATCCCCTAGTGAAGGATAAAGACATGAGCTGAATGTGGGCAGGTTTCTGGGATGGGATGCTGAGAGCCCAATGCCTTGTGCTCCCTGGAGGCCCAAACCCTCGTCTGGCGATCCTTTCCTTCACTTTCTAGGACCTGTCCTCCACTGACCACGCAGTAGCTCCCCCAACGTCCACCCTCTTCAGGCCTCCCTTCCCACACACCAGCCCCACAGAGCCTCTGCAGATGACTGGTCTCCTACATTTTCTTAGAACACTAAGGCCACTGGCCACAAATCCTCTCCCTCTCTACCTTCCCTCAAATCAAAGTGTGTTTCACCTCTTTCTCTACTTTTTGTCTTCAAGTTAGTATGACTTACCTCCCTGTGTTCCATGTTCACTTTTCACTGAGTGACTGTGATTCTCTCCCCATTCTTTTGGGATCTTCCCTCCCTTAACCAACCACTAAAACGTCAGAGACATCTTTAATCCCTCTCTCTCTACCTGCGTCTTCCTTTCTTCTGCTGCTGCTAACAATGGATGACAACAGCTCCCTTTTATTGAGGACCTCCTAAGACAGGCGCTGTGTGTAGCATGTGCACCCATTGTCTGGAATTCTCCCAATAACCTTCGAATACACGTTTTACAAATAGGAAGACAGGCTCGCAGTTGTTAGGCCACTTGCCCAAGGCCACATGGATGGTAACTCAGACCCAAGCTTCCCCAACTTAAAATCAGGCTCACCCCTCCACCCAGCCCTGCTGGCCCCAGTCAGCCACATGAGGGCCCTTCATCTTGAAAAGCAGCTCCCTGCCTCAGCTCCCTTGCCACACTTTTGTCTTGTGTCCAACTTCCCAGTGATCCACGCCAGTCACCTGCCTGGCGACCTTCCTAAGGCCCCACAACTTGGCTTCTTCCCTGCTACCCCTGAGTCCACTGAAACTTCCCTCTTAAAGGCTATTAATCACTGAGAGTTTTTTTGCCCTCTCAGCTCTCACTCTTCTGACTGTTCTGCAGCATCAGACATTTCCTTTAAAATGTTCTTCCCTGGGCCTCTGTGACTCTATGCTTTCCAGGTTCTTTTCTCACTCATTGAGTCTACCCCCTCCTCTTCCTGTCTCACAGGAGTTACTTCATGGCTCAGCTCTCAGGCCTGTCCTTGGGAACCCATCTACTACTCTAATGGCTTCAGCTTCCACCTCCAGGTGGCGGGTGACCTCCTCACCAACAATGGGCCCAGCTTCCTTCCCGCGTGTCCCAGTAATGCCTGGGCTGGGGAGGGACACCCAGCCCAGCAGCCGACGGCCACCGGGGCTCTCTTCCAACAATCAGAGTAAGAGACTTTCTCAGCCGGATGGAAATCTTCTGGAGTTCGAACTGGGGTGGCCACACCGGGCCATGTCCTCTTAGATGTCCCTCCCCCTCATTCTCAAAAGGTCCAAAGCTGATTCTGTGGGACCGAGAATCTACAGAGGGCGAGGACAGTGACACCTTTGCCTCGTTTCCTACAGTGGCTGGCACCATGCCTTGCTGCCCAACTGGAACCCCTGGGTCATCTTGAATTCTCCTCCTGACTCTCATATCCAACAAACAGGCACTAAATGTGCCGTTTTGGGGTTCTCTCTTCGCTACCCCTCCACGGTCACTGTCCTGGCTGAGCCCTTCTCCGCCTCAGTCTAGGTCCCACTGTCCTCATCCTGCCACTGTGACCTAATTGAGGACAGGGAAAGCGTACTACCTAACTGCGATCTCAAACTTATACAAGTAAAAAGCAGAAGCATAGTCTCAGATCACCACCATTGATCTGCTTTGTGTGTGACATTCCACATGATGTTAAATGAAGGAATTTGACTTCAGGTCTTTCCAAAGGGATAGATATATGGTTTTAAAAGTTGTGAAATATCAGCCTATAGGATATTTCCCAAACTTCTTGACACAAAGCTCTTGACCCTGGCTCAAGGCCAAAAGAAGTATCCTGGAAAATGCTTTTCATGAAACAAAAAAACCAAAACAAGCTTGGCTCTACACTGTTCTCCACAATGCCATCTCTGTGTCTATACTTCCTCCTGAGCACCTACCCTGCCTCCCACTGTCCCCGAAGTGTCATTCCTGCCCTTGCCACTCTCCTTGAGGGTTCTAACAGCTGACACCTTTGACAGTTCCATCTTTGGGGCACCCGGGTGGCTCAGCTGGTTCAATGTCTGACTCTCGATTTCGGTTCAGGTAATGATCTCACTGTTGTGGGATCAAGCCCCGCGTCAGGCTCTGTGCTGGGTGTAGAGCCTACTTGAGAATCTCTCTCCCTCTCTCCCTCTCTCCCTCCCTCTCTCTCTCTCTCTCTCTCTCTCTCTCTGCCTCCCCACTTTCCCTCTGCCCCTTCCTCACTCTCTCTCTCTCAAAACACAAACAAAACAAAGGTACATCTTTAATTGCCCACATAAACAGAATTCTCCAGAGATCAGTTTAAAATAATGACTTACCAACTTATCCAGGAAGGTTACCATCTCCTAAGAAAGAAAAGACAAAAAATCAGAAATTGTATACACCCACCTCAGCTGCTTCAATATTAGAATTACTGTATCTGCCTTTTTATGGGCTATATTGTGTCTTCCCCAAATTCACATGTTGAAGCCCTAACATCACCTCTACCCCAGGACCTTGGAATGTGACTGTATTTGGAGACAGGGGCATTAAAGAGATAAGTTAAAATGAGGTCATCAGAGTAAGCCATGATCCAAGTTGGCCAGAGTCTTTATAAGAGCAAAAGGTCTTGGGACGCCTGGGTGGCTCAGTCGGTTAATTGTCTGGCTTCAGCTCAGGTCATGATCTCACAGTCTGCGAGTTCGAGCCCCGCGTTGGGCTCTGTGCTGACAGATCAGAGCCTGGAGCCTGCTTCAGATTCTGTGTCTCCCTCTCTCTCTGACCCTCCCTCGTTCATGCTCTTGTCTCTCTCTGTCTCAAAAATAAATAAAAACATTTTTAAAAATTAAAAAAAAAAAAAGAACAAAAGGTCTTGACACAGACACGCACAGAGGAAAGCCCAAGTGAAGACACAGGGAGAAACGGCCACCAACAAGGTTCAGATGAAACCCTGCCGACACCTTGATCTCGAGCTGGATGGGCTCCAGCCTCCAGATGGCGAGAGAACAAATTTCTGTTGTTTAAGCCTCCCAGTCTGTGGTACTTGGTTATGGCAACCTGAGCACACGAATACAACGTTCAGTCATTTCCCTCGCTTGTGAGTTATCTCCCTTCCCCTTCCAGCATCCTCTCAGTAACCAGGCTGACCTCAGATGAGCACAGTGAATTATTCAGGGTATGATGGTACACATCCCTAACTGGGCAACATCCATCGTAAGACAGAAATCATGCCTTCTTCCCGGGAGAAAGAAAGGGGAAGAAAACTGCTGTGCGGAGGGCTGGCTGCTTGCCTTGCTCCAGGACAGTGAGCTCCTGCCCCTTGTCCCGCAGCACACATGGGAGCTCCTGGCCACAGCCGCCAGCAAGCTCGGGGTCTGGAAAAGGGGTCTAAGATGTGTGGAGGTGCTGGAGATGAGGGTCATCCAGAATCAGGATTTGGGGATGCCATATTGGGCCAGGTACAAAATGAGCAAGCAGGGGAATCCTGCTGGGGATGGAGGGAGGGTAGGACAGAGCAGAGGTGTCGACAGAATGAATCAAGAGACCTGACGTGCCATTCAGCCCCTGCAGAAAGCCACACCACCTTCCGGCTTCCCCACCTCACTCCTCCTACATGGTCCCATCTAACTTGTCAACGCTACCCCCTATTTACCTGAGCCTGTGCTCTGCTTGCTATAATTAAAGAGTCTATGGAGCTCTATCTCTGGAGCCCTAGCTTGGCCACTCGATTCACGTCCTTTCCCCTCACGCATCTGTATGTCCACTCTACAGATGAGGTAGCTGAGGCTCACGGCGGCCAAATGGTCAAATGCAGCCAAGGCCAACACGGCTAGTCAGGCAGAACTGGGACTGATTCCAAGTCTATCTGATTTCAAAAATTTAACATCAAGGGGCGCCTGGGTGGCTCAGTCAGTTAAGTGTCTGACTCTTGATTTTAGCTCAGATCCTGATCTCACAGGTCATGGGTTTAAGCCCTGTGTCAGGCTCTGCTATGACAGCACAGAGCCTGCTTGCAATTCTCTCCCTCCCTCCTTCTCTCTCTCTCTTTCCCTCTCCCGCTTGTGCTTCCACTCTCTCTCTCTCTCTAAGTAAATAAACATAAAAAAAAATTCAACATCAAAGCCTTCAAAGCTATCCTGGTTTGCCCTGTGGACCAACAGCGTTATTTTAAATATTTTCCAGTCCCTTGATTCCTCCCCCCTACCAATTGAGAAGTCCCTAATTTGTTTTTGATTCCCTAGATCACTGCCCTCACTGGAGGCTGCGGAGATTTGCACCATAAAAGTTTGAAGACTTAGAAAATAAATGTGATTGTACTTCCCTCGCCTCCTGTTTTAGGTGCTTCCAAAATGAAAGGCGAGCTTTTTTTCCTTCTCTGGGCAAGGCCTATCTTTTGTTCTTCTACACTAAGCAAGGAGATGGAAACTTCAGGATAGAAGGATAGCATGATAGAAGACAAAGGGCTTCCCACAGAGCCCTAAGAGCATTAAAAAGTGTTCAGTTATTCTCCACTGTGGCCTCAGTTCCGATGGGGGCATCCACCAAATGGGAACATCCTTTTTGGCGGGGTTGGGGGACACACACAGAGTTCTGCCTACAGCCAGTGACAGTAACATTCTTCAAAGAGAAAGAATGTTAAAGGTTTTCTGGCTCCTTTTGCTACCCCAGCTCCCAAGCCTGCCCAGAAATCCCGGGGTTACAGTGACAACCTCACTAGGTAGGGAACAGAGGGCAAACCCCTCCCTGCTCCCCTGAAGAACATGGAAAGCAAGTGCAGATGACAGGTTCCATTGGTTAAAATGTGCACAATTTGTTGTTGTTTTCTTTTAACGTAGATAATCAGTACTGATATAATCAGGTCATTAGTTTAATGGTTTTTATTTTCATCTTTCCCCCCAAAGACAGGGGAACGATTATTGGAAGGCACCATACTATGTTGTCAGAAAGTTTCATTATGGACTGAATGTTTGTGTCCCTCAAAATTCACATGTTAAAGCCCTAATCCCCAATGTGATTATATTTGAAGATAGTGTCTTTACAGAAGTAATTAAGGTTCAGTGAGGTCACGAGGGTAGGGTCCTGATCAGATAGGATCAGTGTTCTTATAAGAGACACCAGAGAGCTTCTTCTTACTTTGCAATTAACCACAGAGAGACTGAAGATTAGTTCAGTGTTATTTCCACATCCTACTCTTAAAAAGAAAATTAGACCTGAAATGGGATCACTTAGGTAAAGGCCCCAAGTCAGAAAACCAACACTCAATACACAGTCTGACTGCAGTTTCAACCTCCTATAAATGTAACCTTTTTAAAAAAAATTTTTTTAATGTGTATTTTTGAGAGACAGAGAGAGCATGTGAGTGGTGAAGAACCAGAGAGACAGGGAGACACAGAATCCAGGGCAGGCTCCAGGCTCCGAGCCGTCAGCACAGAGCCCCACACGGGGCTCAAACCCAGGGACCACAAGATCATGACCTGAGCCGAAGTCGGTGCTTAACAGACTAAGCCGCCCAGGCACCCCTAAATGTAACCTATAACCAATCAACATGGGAATTTCCTGGTCAGTACCCTTTCCATTCCCCTTAGAAGGGCCACCTTGCCTAAAACAATGGATTCTCTGCTAATAATTTCCTTCTTTCCACTCCCTCTCTACCTTTAACAATCTTTTCTGTAGCCCTTTGGAGTTCTACTTGCTAGATGGAATGCTGTCTGATTTATGAATCGATTCATAAAACCAAATAGATCTTTATAATTTACTTGGTTGAATTTTTGCTATTTTAACACCACAAAACTAAGAATCACACTCAGAGCAGGAGGGGTCTTGAGAACATGAAGTACATCCCTCTGACTGCATCTTATACTTGATAGCACGACCTGGAAAGGTTAAATGACTTACTCAAGGTCAAACACAATGAAAGGGGCAACTGGGTGTGGATAAGCCTCTCAATGTTATTGCTATGTTGCATTCCAACACCCCTAATTTGGAATCCTAAGACTACAGACACACAGAGAATACGTTCATGATTCCCTAAAGGTACTTATTCGAAAAAAAAATTTTTAATGTTTATTTATTTTTTGAGAGAGAGAGAGAGGGAGGGAGGGAAGGAAGGAGGGGGGGAGGGAAGGAGAGGGGTAGGGTAGAGAGAGAGGGAGACACAGAACCTGAGCAGTCTCCAGGCTCTGAGCTGTCTGCACAGAGTCTGATGCAGGGCTCAAACCCATGAACCATGAGATCATGACCTGAGCCGAAGTCGGACACTTAACAGACTGAGCCACCCAGGCGCCCCCTAAAGATACTTATTCTAAAACAAATAGCAGTTGTATGATGAACTGGCACATACATTTAAGGATTTGTGATTAAGGAAAAAAAAAAGTTTTCAATATATTTGGCGGGGGTGTAGTTGAGAGAAGGATTTTTGTGGGCACTTGAAGATAAGCAGTATATGGCTCTTTATTCAGTTTCTTATATTTAAAGTTTATGCAGATAATTTTTTTAAAAAGATTACATAGAGGGTTTTAAAAAAAATTTTACATTATAAATTTTGTGCTGATAATTTTTCAAATGACAGCTTTATTGAACTATGACTCATATACCATAAAATTCACCTGTTTAAAATAAACAATTCAACGGAGTTTAGTGTAGTTACAGAGTTGTGAGATCACCACTGCTATCTAGTTACAGAACATTTCATCATGCCAAAAAGAAACCTTGTACCCATAAACAGTTCCCCATTTCCTCTAGCCCTTGGCAACCATTAATTTCATTTCTGACCTCTTCTGGAAATTTCTCCCAAATGGAATTATACAATACATGGCCATTTGTGACTGGCTTATCTTAGCATAATGTTTTTAAGGGTCATTCATGTTGAAGCATGCATCATGATCTCATGCCTGTTTATGGCTGAATACTATTCCATTGTATGGATATGTCACATATTTTTTATCCATTCATCAGTTATTGAACATTGGGGTTGTTTCCACTTTTTGGCTTTTGTGAATAATGCTGCTGTGAACATTCACGTCCAGGTTTTTGGTGGACATATTTTTTTAAATTCTTTTGTGTGAATACCTAGTAGTGGACATACGAATGACTTTTAAAGGGTGGAGTTGGAGGACAGGAGCCTCACATTTTATCTTGTTTGTTTTAGTAAAAGAATTGCCTTCTTCTGGAAGGCAATTATGTCAAACAACCCGATGTATCTGTCTTAAGAACCAATTTTGACACAAAGAAGTAGGGGTCCAGTTAGGGGACATCAGGGGGATGGGGAGAACCCACCCCCCTCCCCACAGGGTCGCTGGGGAGATCTTGGCAGGATTTCGGGGGAGATATGAGCAAGAGCAGAAGTGGCAGAGTGAAAGAGGTAAAGACTCAGAAACTGAGGAAGGAAGGACAACCCCAACTGGAAAGTAAGGTTTTATCAATGCTCCTCTTCTAAGGCACCAAAACCTATGTGTGGGCCTGGCTGGGAGGAGATCCAAACAGAGCTAGGACTCCTAGATGGAGCCTTCTTGTAATTTTAGCATCATCAGCGGCATCGCCAGCTTTCCGGCCAACCAAGAGGCTATTTCTTCCCCTTGGCTCCCCCAGCTAAGGCTCCCCGCCTTGCTTTTCCCAAGGGCTGATGGAGCCTTGGGGCACAGTCTCCTCACCTCAGCCCTGGCTTCCTCTTGCAAGCCCTGAAATGAGGGTCCCCTCCCTGATGGTGCTTACACTTCACCTAGAATAGGAGCGCCATTACAGTCACCAATCCACACGCTAACTCCCTAGGTCTGGCCAACAACATCTTTACCAAAATAATTTTTAAAATCTTCAGGATGGAGGGTGCCTGGGTGGCTCAGTCGGTTAAGCATCCCACTTCAGCTTAGGTCATGATCTCGTGGTTCGTGAGTTTCAGCCCAACGTCGGGCTCTGTGCTGACAGCTCAGAGCCTGGAGACTGCTTGGGATTCTGTGTGTGTGTCTTTCTCTGTCCCTCCCCCACTGGTGCTCTGTCTCTCTCTCTCTCTCACAAATAAACATTAAAAAACATTTTCTTTTAAATAAAAAAAAATAAAAATAAAAAATAAAATCCTCAGGATGGCAAGGTGAGTTGGGGGGCGGCTACGAGGAAGGCCATGGGAGCTGTGGCAGAGGTCAGACCTGGCTCTACTAGCTGTTGACCTCAGGCAATTACTTCACCTCCTGGTGACTCAGTTTCTTCTTCCACCAAATGTTGGAAGATATACAGTAAATGTCGGCTATCATTTTGAAATACCATCTTAACTGTCAGTAAGATTGTATACCCAAATGCTGTAAAACGCTTTCCTAGGGTTTAATGAATACCCATACTTCTATCTGGTATCAGTGAAAACACCAGGACAGAAAAGATGTTACAAATGTTACCCAAAGATCTTCCTTACCTTGCATAACACTTCCAAGGAATATTCTTCTATTTCTGCCATTAAAAATAAAGACAATTAATTAACATACTTGAAAATTACCAACAAAATAAGAGGGCCCCTTTGCCAAAAAAATATATACCTTATTAAATCTTTAGATTGCTGTAGTCTACTTGTTTATTTTTGGTTTTGTTTCCTGTGCTTTTGGGGTCACGTCCATGAAATCACTGTCAAGGTCAATGGCACAAAGCTTTTCATTTATGCTTTCCTCTAAGAGTTTTAGTTTCGGGTCTTACATTTAGGTCTTTAATCCATTTTGAGTTGATTTTTGTGTATGGTGTAAGGTAAGGGTCCAGTTTCATTCTCTTGCATGTAGATATACAATTTTCCCAGCATCACTGGTTGAAGAGACTGCCCTCTCCCCTAGGGTATGTTCTAGTCACCCTAGTCAAAGATCAGCTGACAGTTCATGCATGGATTTATTTCCAGGCTCTCTACTCAGTTCCATTGGCCATATGTCCGTCTTTATACCAATACCACCTTGTTTTGATTACTGTAGCTCTGTAATATGTTTCGAAACCAGGAAGTATGAGTCCTTCAGCTTCGTTCTTTCTAAAGACTGATTTGACTATTAGGGTTTTTTTGGTGGATCATATGAATTGTAGAATTGTTTTTTCTATTTCTGTAAAAAATGCCATTGGAATTTTAAATAAGGATTCCACTGAATCCATAGATCACTTTGGGTAGTACGAGCATTTTAATAATAATAGCAATTCCAGAAAGCAAAAAAGAAAAAGAAAGAAAGAAGAGAAAACAGAAGAAAAAAACTATTGAATAAATAATTCAAGAAACCTTCCAAGAACTAAAAGATATATGTACCCAGAAAAGTGGATGAAAAGAGACCCAGATCATGGTATATAACATCATAAAATTTTAGAACACAGCAAGATAAATAAAAAGATCCTAAAGGTATCAAGGGTGAGGAAAAAGAAAACGGTCACATAGAAAGCCTCACAGATCAGAATGGCATGGGACTTTTCACTAGCAACAAGGGAAGAGAGAAAATAGCAGGATAACGGAGTCACGGTTTTAAAGGAAAATAATGTGTTATTTAAAATCTATTGCCAAATGATATGAAGTTTACATACAAATGATCTGCAATGTATTTGTATGCATTCCAGATCATCATGCTTGGCTTTAGAATTCACGTTGTGTATAATCTTTAGCAACGGTTAACGTGTAAATTATTATTTTCTTAAAAAAAGTTATAATTAGGGTATGTATAAGTCCCAATTCATCCAGAACAGTTCAGTTTGTGTTTCTTTTAATAGTGTTCTAGCCTGAATGATAAATTAATTACTAAGTTACGCCTAGGGGATTCAGGGAAGATCATAATAGAGATGAATAAAAATAAATATCTTAATAATTAAATTGGTGGTGGTGGGGGGGGAAACCCTTAAATGTCTTTCCTGGATGTTTGGACTAGAAGCTTTCTTTTTGTCAAAAGTGCCTCTGCACCACTCAAGAGGCAGTGAGTCGATACCATGACAATTAGGGAACAATCATGGAGGCACTCGACTGGTGGTCACCTGAGGGTCAGTTCATGTCAGCTAGATTCAAACTCGACACAATAGGCTTGATGTGAACACGGGGGAGGCAGTTCAGGGAAGGGGTGGTGAGCAGCTTGTTTGGTTCACTGAGCTGCCATGGCTAACAGCACGGCTGGCACCAGGAGGGACAGGGATTCTGCCGCAGGCCTGGCTGTAACACGTTCCTGTCCCCACCTGGGGAGCTTAACAGTTTGGGGCTGAGAACCCCTCTGAAACTGATAAAGCAGTAGACTCCCTCACCCCAGGCAAGTGTTCATAAATCCACACATAGACTCAGGTTCATAGGCCCCTGATGCCCATCCTTAGATAGGCTCCATCTGGGATCCAGAGACCCTGGGTTAAGAATCTGGCCTACCAATTACTGTATGATCCAGCAGTTCCACTTCTGGGTATACACCCCGAAAAACTGAAAGGAGGAACTCAAGCAGATACTTGCATACCCATATTTGTAGCAGCATTATTCTACATTAGCCAGAAGGTGGAGGCAACACAAATGGCCACTGATGAATAGATGGATAAACAGAATGTGATCTATAGTTACAATGAAGTATTATTCAGCCTCCAAAAGGAAGGAAATTGTGATATATGCCACAATGTGGATGAATCTTGAAGACATCATGCTAAGTGATATCAGCCAGTCACAAAAGGATAAATATTGTATGATCCACTTAGAGATGACTGGAGTAGTCAAATTCATAGATAGAGAGAAAGGTAGTTGCCAGGGGCTAGGGAAAGGGGAATGGGGAATTAGTGCTTAAGGAGTACAGAGTTCTGCAAGATGGAAAAAGTTCTATAGCTGGATGGTACATCCTATGCCCTATATCCTCCCAGACCAGTGGGAGACTTCCTCAGGGCATAGGCCATGGGTTTCTTGTGTTCTTTCAGGTAATGCAGAGCAGGGATATCTGAGCCCAAAGTGCACAGACACAGATCACTGAAGGAGAGAGGAAGGGCAAAGTCAGACCCCCTTGAAGGGCTGCTTGCTCCAACGTGGGCCCAGGGAAAGTCAGTGCAGTTGGAGAGCTCAGGCAGAAGGCATACCCAACACAGGACAGCTGTGAGACAGCTAACCTACCAGGAGGAGCAGACGACTCTCCATAGCCTTTCATATCCAGAGCTAGCACCCGGAAACCCGCCTGAGCCAGAGCAGGGATCTAGAAAACAAACAGTTCAGGTACACTCAAGTGCGGCCTCATCAGTCTTTTGCCGACACTCCTTCTTTCTTCCTTCTATCCCCGTTCTTGTAAATGGTTCAACTCAAAGCGCCATGTGGCACTATCTGGAATCACCACCACGAGGCTGGAACAAGCCCACCTGGATAGGGCGGCCATGCACAGTGGTAGGACTCGTATACTGCATCTAATGCTACATCTAAGCATTTTTCTTAGCATAGCACAGATCTTGCAGATTTCTATATTCATTACAAAGGCTTCCCAGCAGGTGGCATAAAGTGTCTGGAAGAATCTGCCTTTTTCTAATCTGCAAAAGTGGCATATGGGGCTAGCATAGCTCTGAGGTCTGGCCCTGACTCTGGCCCCAACACTTCTGAGGTATCACATGGTCACACGTTCAAGACGATGCTCCACTGTTAAGTTTTCAGCTTCTTAAGGGCATTCTACTCTAGGCCATACCACCTAGACTTTCCCCTCCTTTCCCCTCCCCCTGGCTGGGGCGTACCTTCCCCCAGTTTCCTTTACCTGGTACCTCCAAGAGAACCAGCTCTCAGGAAATCCATGGCACAGGCACACGGCAGGACCGGAGCCCAGCTCCACAAAATGCATACACACCCCAGGCTGTAGAAAAGAGAGGTGAGCGGGTAGTGACCACAGCACCAGGCTGGGCAGAACCAGGTACGCCTTCTGCAGGCTGCCCCAGGCCATCTCAGTGTATTGCCAGACCTCACATGGCCCAGTTTGCTCAGCTTAAGACCCCAGTGCTAGAAGATGTTCAAGAAGACAACTGGCCAAAGTGCATTAAAAACAGGCAGCTTTCCTAGGCACATAGGAAGCCTGAAAAGAAGGTTATAATGGTGGAAAGAAGAACAAAACAACTCGGCCTTCCTCCCAGAAAGGCCCTCATACCGTCAGAGTTTCTGGTACTGTTTGACAGGTCTTGGGTATTTTAAACTGGGCTGATTTTGTGCACAGTGTAATATTCATGTTAACATACAGAATACCAGGATTGATTTGTTAAAAATTGTTTATCTTTTTTTTTTTTTTATTTATTCATTTTGCAGGGAGGGGAAGAGAGAAGGAGATAGAGAATCCCAAGCAGGCTCGTGCTGTCACTGCAGAGCCTGACACGGGGCTTGAACCCATAAACCATGAGATCATGACCTGAGCCCAAACCAAGAGTTGGGCATTTGGGGCACCTGGGTGTCTCAGTTGGTTAAGCGTCCAACTTTGGCTTAAGTCATAACCTCACGGTTTGTGGGTTCATGCCCTGTGTCTGGTTTTGTGCTGATAGCTCAGAACCTGGAGCCTGCTTCGGATGCAGTGTCTCCAGCTCTCTGCCCCTCCCCTGCTCATGCTCTGTCCTTCTCTCTCTCTCTCAAAAATGAAAAAGTGTTAAAAAAAAAAAAAAGAGTTGGGCATTTAGCCAACAGAGCCACCTAGATGCCTCTAAAAATTATTTATCTCTTGGATGTAAAGTCTTTTTCAAGCTTTGCTAACTTCTTGTCCTTTCTGGGCTCTGTGTGTCAGAGGCTGCTAGAGCTCTGTATCTGTGTTCTCTTCTCCCTGGCACCTGACAGCATCTTCCAGACCTCCCCCACTTCCTCGCAATGGATGTGGCCATGTGGCCGAGTTCTGGCCAAAGGTATATGAGTCGGAGAAGTATGTGCTACATCCTGGGCCCGTATAACCCTCCCACACTTGGTCCTCCTCCTTTTCCTATCTGCTCCTGGATAGTTAGGGCCTCAAGAAAGTGAGAGCCAGCAGAAAGAAGGAGCCTGGCTGCTTGAACAACTGCATGGAGAACACCCACTCCTACCCCACACTGGACTGCTCTGCAAGCAAGAAAACAAACTTGGTGTTGGGCCACTGAAACCTTGAACCTACTGAACCTACTTCAATCATTATTGTGTGGTCTAAGCACACGAACTAAAGCAATATGGAGTCAAAGTGCTCTATTTTCCCCCAAAGTATGTGTCTCCAACTTTCTAATGGAAAGAAATGAGAAAAATAAGCTTTGCATCTAGAAATTCACTTGGAGCAATTCTATTTAGCTGCATCTCCGATTACTCCAAACTCCGTGTTCGAAACCGGAAGTTTCACTCATGATTCCCAAGGAGTTATTTTGCTCGAGAAAGCATTTGGCTGGCATTTCACATACTCCTTCATGGTCTAGTCTTATCAGAATATGTTCCATAGTGTTCCGGTTGGTACTTGGCAAAGGGAAGGATTTAACTTGAAATTCTATACTCCTTATATTGAAAAATGTTCTAGTACTGATGTCCAGTGAAATGATCTTTTTTTTTATATTATTTATATTTTATTTTTCCTCCCTTTATTTTTCCTCCCTTCCCCTCCCGCCATGGTCTTCTGTTAAGTTTCTCAAGATCCACATATGAGTGAAAACATGGGGTATCTTTCTCTGACTTATTTCCCCAGTAAAATGATTTTTTTTAAACATTTATTTATTTTTGAGACAGAGAGAGACAGAGCATGAACGGGGGAGGGTCAGAGAGAGAGGGAGACACAGAATCTGAAACAGGCTCCAGGCTCTGAGCTGTCAGCACAGAGCCCAACGCGGGGCTTGAACTCACAGACCGCGAGATCATGACCTGAGCTGAAGTCAGCCGCTTAACCGACTGAGCCACCCAGGTGCCCCTAAAATGATCTTAATCTGCCTCTGTTGTAAGTGAAGCCTAACTCAAAGGCCCCCTCTCACTGCTTCGTATTTGACTGAGTAGCCCAGCAAACGCACGTACTTTCCCATCCTTTATGTGATATGTTAATAAAATTACCAGAAAGCCAGAAAATGAGAAAGATCGAACCCAGGTTGGACTGCACCAGCATTCAGGGAAAATACAAGGAATAGCTTTGTCCCAGAAGTGGCCGCCCCAGGCCTTTAATTTGGAGCGAAGACAGAGGGGGTGATAAAGCAGCTCTGATCACACTCCTTCAAGGTCAAATGAGAAATGTATCGAAAGGGACTGGACCTTCAAGCCTCAGAGAAGAACAATCCTGTCCTTGGCGTTGAAGCCACAAGGATACAGCCCAGACCCCAAGCCCCAGGGAAAGAGTCCCTAGCTCCTTAATACCGGAGACGAGGTGTGAGGGGACCTCATGAAACGTTCACCCCTTCAGGAGCCCCCAAGGTTACAGGAGGGGCGGCGCTGACGCTGACCAATAGCTTCAGCCCTTTCTTTCTATCCGGCTTCCATTTATCTTTCCGTGCCTACCTCACCACGGCTGCTAAGAATTCACCGAGGCAGCCTCTGCCCTCACAGGGCCCATCCCAAGCGCTCCAGGCACCACTATTATACAAGGACCTGTGAATGTTTATCTCAGTAGACTGGAAGATCCCTGAGGTCACAGAAGACCCTCCGTTCATCTTGGTATTTCTCTCCGTGCCTGGCAAATAACAAATACCCAGTAAATATTGGAGGGGCTGTCCTCCAGGGCAGCAGGGGGTACTACGCCCCGCGGTCTGCATGCGGTATTTTAATTACCGTTGACCCTTGAGCAAGGTTGGGACAAGGGGCACCAACCCCCACCCGGAGTCGAACATCTGCATGTAACTTTTGACTCCCCCAAAACTGAACTATTACTAGCTTGCTGTTGACAGGAAGCCTTACTGATAATAGTTGATTAACACGTATTTTGTGTTCTACGTCTCATATGCTGGAATCTTACAATAAAGTGAGCTAGAGGAAAGAAAACGTATCTGAGAAAACCATAAGGGAGAGAAAATGCATCTAGAGCACTGTTCTTACAAAATCCTCATATGAGTGGACCCATGCTATTCAAACCCATGTTGTTCAAGGGTCAACTGTAATCCACACAAGAACGCTAAAGGCAGGTATTAGTATCACCTCATTATAAAGCTGCGTACACTGAGATTCAGAGTGATAAAGAAATGTACCTGGGGGCACCTAGGTGACTCAGTCGGCTAAGCGTCTGACTCTTGATTTAGGCTCAGGTCATGATCTCGTGGTTTTGTGAGTTTGAGCCCCATGTCAGGCTCTGTGCTGATTCTGCAGAGCCTGCTTGGGATTCTCTCTCTCTCTCTCTCTCTCTCTCTCTCTCTGCCCCTCCCCAGCTTGTACTCTCTCTCTCTCAAAATAAATAAATAAACTTAAAAAGAATTATTAAAAAAAGAAAAAAAGAAATGTACCTAAACTTGCAAACTTGGTGCCCATGCCAGGATTCAAACTGGCTCTGCCTGTCTCCAAAGCAACTGTCCCATCTTGTTTAGCATACAAGCTGACCTGCAGCTTTGGGTCCCTTTTCATTTAAATGGGACCAATGACAAATTAAGAGAGATCCAAAAGTGAATCCACTGAATGGGGTTAGGACATTCTAACACCCTGCTCTGTATCCTGGCTGGCTCAGGAGTCGAGGCCCCTCTGCACATGGCCTTGGCTTTGCCATAGCCTTGACCGCCAGATGTTTTAATGACCACTTCTGTCCTTTGTCCTCAGTCTGGGTTCCTTGAGAACGAGTCTGTCTTGTTCTCATACCTGGCCCTTGCCGACACCAAGGCAGTGGGTGATGAATATGTGTTGGAATAGAAACAAGTTCTCCCCAGAACACAGGCCAGACACACATGCCCTTTAGCACCTGTGGGCCACTCAGGGCCCCATATAACCTGTTGTTCCAAAGGAGTCTGACTACATCTGTCACACTGCTTTGCATATCCTAAGGTGTGGTGCCTTCTGACTTCTGTGGACTGATGCTCGTGGGAAGTACTATTTCCCTACAAGCAGCGGATGTTCGGCTACCCTCAGTATTTAACAAATGTCTCTGCAGGTCCGTGTAGGTGACCTATTTAGGGAGGGCGCGGTGGCCTAGGAGAGAGCGCTCACATACCTTTATTGGCACATAGCCATGGCTCACGTCCCTCGGATTGCACGCGATTGGCAGAGCGGTGGCAACTTGGAGAAGCTGGATGGAAAAGAGGTACAGTAAGAGAGGCGGCAGCCTCCTTCTGTGAGAAGTTCTGAGAGAGCTTCCAGAACTCCAGAGTGCTGGCCTGTGCCGTGGCCTCCTGAGTCCTCCGGGGATTTCCCAGCCCATGTCCCTCTCCTGCAGGCACACAGCTACATTTCTCTTCTCCCCTCTCTCTCAGGTCAGAGTAGCCCATGACTGAGTCCTCTGACAGAAGGCTATGGCCTGTCAGCCTGACCCATTAAAATCCCCCTCGATTCTCTAAATTCTCTACCTTGCCTCTCCCAGCTGAGAGCCTGGTGTGACCTGGGAAACCACAGGTGGAAGACGGTGGGTCCTCCGTCAACCCGGGTCTTTGAATGGCTGCATGAAGCAAAGCCCCTGGCTGCCACCAACTGAACTTCACATAAGGAAAAAAAACAACAAAAACCAACCGCTCTAAAACACTGAGATTTTGTACTTCAATTAATAGAATTCTTCTCTGTGGCAGTTCCTCAAGTGGTCACCCAGGCACCTCTTGGACAGCATTAGGAATGCAAAGTTCACCGTCCCATCACTGGATGGCTCTGCTGAAGGGATTCTCTCTCAAGATGGCCAAAATCAAACTCTCTCGGCCTCTGTATTCATCTGCTCGAGCTGCCATAACAATGTGCCACAGACAAGGTGACAGAAACAACAGACAGTTATGTCTCTCTGTTCTGGAAGCTGGGTTGGTTCTTCCTGAGGCCTCCCTCTTTGGCTTGAGAAGGCCGCCTTCATCCTGGGTCCTCACATGGTCTTCCTTCTGTGTGTGTGTGTGTCCTAACTGCCTCTTCTCATAAGGACACAGTCATACTGGTTTAAGGCCTACCCCAATGACCTCATTTTACCTTAATCACCGTTTTAAAAGCCCTATCTCCAAATATAGTCACTTCTGAGGTCCTGGGGCTTTCACATGAATGAATTTGAGGTGGAAGGGGGCAGAGTTCAGCCTGCAGTCCCCAGGTCTGTCCTCTGGAGTCCCAGGAGGTCAGATAACCCATCTTTGTATGACATCTGGGTAAAGAAGAAAATTCCTGAACAAAGGGTGCATAAGGGGCTCCTCTGACTCATTTGTGTCAGGTATCTTGAGACAAATGATAAAGGACAGGATGCTGAGCACACCTAAGTGAATTTATTCATGACAAGTGACATATTAGTGACTTCTACTGCTAGATCTCTCATCTTTAGTCCCAAGCTGTAACTGAGGAAGAAGTGGCTCCCATCAGCTATCCAGTTCTCTGACCTCTAAAGCGCAGGAAGTAAACTATGAAATCTACCTCCCTTTTAAACATGGAAGAGTCTGTCTGGGCATCCTCCGAGGGTGGGAAACAGAAGGCAAGCCCCCAACCTCTGTGGCATCTGGAGGGGATTCAGGGTGTGGCGGGAGGGATGGGCAGCTTGGTGGCCTCTGATGACAATGAGCCTTGTCGGGCCTGAGGAAGCCAAGACACTGACCATAGGCCAGTGTGCCTTGGGACCCTTCTTCTAAGGTATCCCTGGCTTCCTAGGTCACACCCTAGCAGACGTCCCACTGCTTCCAGGGCTGAGGGGGTGGGGGTTTCCTGTTCTTATAGTTCTCCCGCCGTTTATACAATTTACAAAGCCTGTTCAGAACTGAGTCCCATAGCCTTCCTGAGAGATAAGGGGTAAGTCTCCTCCACTTAAAAAGGTGTAATTTTCATTTTCATTTCATTTTTCCTTTTATCTTGCCCATACTCTGGGGAAGGAGACAGGTGAGGCACGGTTTACTTTTCTGATTTTACAGGACAGGTATCTGTGGCTCATATATGACCAGGGGATACTAGTAAGTGGGGCAAGCAGGTGGCTGCTGCTGGATTCCACGTTTTCTTCTCTGCTGCACAAGACCTCCAGGCTTGTGAAAGGATAAATCAAGTCTGGGCAAAACGCTTTGAGGTTGTGAAGTCATTAGATACACATTTTGTATTTATTTGTTAAAGATGACAAATCAATTGTCCCTGTCATGGGGGCTAAATTTGTGTCCCCTCCAAATTCATCTGTTGACATCTTAATCCCCAGAGCCTCAGAATGGGACTGTGTTTGGAGATAAGGTCTTTAAAGAGGTCACTTACGTTAAACGAGGTCATTGGAGTGAGCCTACTAGAGTTAAACTATAATCTGGCTGGTGCCCTTGTAAGAGGAGGACATTTGGACACACACACAGGGCAAGACCATGTGAAGACAGAGAGATTGTGGCCATCCATCTACAAGCCAAGGAGAGAGGCCTCAGAAGAAACCGTCCCACCAACACCTTAATCTTGGACTTCTGGCCTCCTAGCCAGACTGCCTTGGCCACCCAGTCTGTGTACTTTATGGCACCTCGGGAAATGAACGCAGTTCCCTTTGAGAAAATGGTTGGGATGGCTGTGACGTCCAGCTGGCTTAGCCAGGCGTATGTCCCTCCCTCCTCTTGCATTATGCTGACACAAGCAAAGCAATGCATTCCTGCAAAAGGCTTGTATTAACTGTTCCGCCTGGGCTCAGCGGGCTCAGCCATCTCAGGTAGACTTCTCTAACAACAAAAGGTTCCTCAGCTCTGGCACAGAAGGCTAACCCCTAGGCCACCATCGGACATCATTAAGGGCATCCCATCCTCCTCTGTGAGGGATGGTTAACTAAACCGCTCTGCCTGAGTGCCAGCAGTATGATCAGGCAGACCAGGTGAGGACTGTGCCCCGCACTCCCATGGGGTCAGGCCTGGCAGCTAAATTCTCAATATTTACTCTAAAAAGTCAAGGCTGGTGGGTTTGAAAGCCTCAATCTTGTCTTGGGTCTTGGTTCTTCTGACTCTGACTAGTATGGATTCTCGTGCTCAGAGCAGTTTCTCTGTTCATGACTGCAGAGAAAGAAATACAAAGCTCTTCAAGGACATCATGCTGATTGCACAATAGGTACTGGCCTCCCACCCAGGAGGTTCAAGAACTCCCAGAACCGGTTCTCCCCTCCCTTGCTGTTTCTTGCACACCTAAGCACCGGTGACTGGCCAAAACCCAACCTGGCGAAACCATAAAGTTACCTGCACCCCAGTTACTTTCTCCAGTTCCCTCAGGGCTGTGTCTGTGTCACGGACGAGAATGGTGACCATCCCCAAGTCACGAGCTGGCTTCAGATTCGCCCCGATGTCATCCAAGAATACAACCTACATCCAAATAGCACAGATACTAGAATTACCACCGGCCAAAGCAAAACTCACGCGTGAGGGACAACACCGGAAAGAAACACATTAAATGCAAACACTGGTTATTTTATGACAAGATGAAGAATTACTTTTTCTCCATATAATTATTTACTCTTAAAGTTAAAAATATTTAGGGGTGCCTGGGTGGCTCAGTCGGTTAAGTGTCCGACTTCGACTCAGGTCATGATCTCCCAGTCCATGAGTTTGAGCCCCGCATCGGGCTCTGTGCTAATAGCTCAGAGCCAGAAGCCTGCTTCGGACTCTGAAGCTTCCTCTCTCTCTGCCCGTCTACCGCTTGCACTCTATCTCAAAAACAGAAAAACATTTTTTAAAAAAAGTTAAAAACATTTAATTACATGAGCATACGCATAAACATACAGATAGATACACTTATTCCCATGTGCACTTACGGGTTTCAGCCTGAATTCTGAAACTGTAAGAAAATTAAGGAAGGATATAAACTTATCAGGGTGACATCAAAATAAATTAATCTAGGAAATCAACATGTATGAACAGATGAACAGACAAAAAAAGTGCAGAAAAGAACTGTAATAAGGGCAGATACTAAAACAAATTATCAAGCCACAGAAGGTAAAAAAAAAAGGGGGTGGTGGTGGTGAGGGGGTGTTAGAAGATAGACATGTTAGTGAAATAGAAGAGAGCTGAGGAATAAACCCAAATATAAACAATTCGTGTTGTCTGCCCGATGAGGAAAAATAGTATTTGAAAGCTTATATAATTATTTTAACTGTTTGGGGGGAAAAATGGATGTTTCCTTCACACCTCATCCCAAAATAAATTCTGAATGGAGCAAAGATTGACATTTTAAAGCTAAAAGAAAATCCTTAAAGTTGTAGAAGAAAGCGTAAGCGCATTCATCATCTTGGATTACGGCAGGTCTAGAATTCTAAGCAGCTCACACGACCCAAAAGTCAGAAATGAGAAGACGTTTATTTATACGCACACTAAAATTCAGAGCACTGTTACAAGGCTTAATCCAGGGACTAAGGGGAGCAAGAGCAAAGTTTGAGAGGAGAGAGGAAGACTTCTGGGATTGAGCTTGATAAGGATTCCCCATGACAGAGTTCAGGGTTTCATCTGATGAGCTCGTGGACAAGGTGGGGCCAATGAGAAAGATCAGAAACATCAGCGAAAGGAATTTAATCTTGTTCTGATTGCCTTTTTTGAAAAGTAGAGGTGGAGAATACAAGGAAAACAGAGTTTTAGAAATAGATAATTAGAGACAATATAAAGACAGAATTTTAGGGGTGCCTAGAGAGACAGCTGTAATATTGGAGCCCACTTCTGCTCACCCTTTGGTGGGGTGACTCTTACCAGCCTTGTGGTCTTGGGAAAGTCTCCCAGGGTCTATGTTCCTTTATAGGTAAACTGAGGCAGCTGGTCAGCAGTTTTGACAATACCTGTTTTGACCAATAAAAGCCACAGAGAGGGGCCAGATCCCCACATCTTGTAGACTGTTCTAGACTGAAGGGATGGGTAAAGTCCTTTATAAGTCCTGGCCTGGGAGAACAGGACCCTGCCACTGGACCTAGAGGTCCTACCAGGCTCCAGATGTCCCCCACCTGCTCACTCCTCCACAGTTTTTCTTAATTGCAGTATCTCTAGAACATTCTTTTTCACTAAAAGGAAGTGTCTACATACCTCATTGGGGCTGGCGTTCAAGGTGTCCAGTACAAACTTGTAGATCCGAGGATCAGGCTTGGCCATTCTGATCCTGCATGACTCTATCAGGAAGTCAAAGTGTGGCCTCAGCTGACACACCAGCTGGGCCAGGATGCCCCTCTGAGCACTGTCATCCAGCCAGTTGTTGGTGAGGAGGCAGGTTGTATATCCTGAGAGAGAAGACACCAGTGACTGGACCAGATACAGGACTTTGCTCTGAGAAGCTCAGGGTACCCCACGGAGAAGGGGCCAAGCAGGGTTCTGTTTATTTACATCAACCTCTTGATGCCCAGCGTCTAAACTGACAGGTTGGAAAAGAAGCATCTTCACCCATTAGCACCTCCTGACACAGAGACCTGAGAGTGAGTTAACTGTGTACATTAAGGGCTTCCAGAAGCTTGGATAGAAACACTACATCCCTCAATTCCTTGCAACTGTAGAGCAAGAGGTTGTGACCTTCATCAGCTCATATGATCCTCACCACCTTTGGGGTAGGCGGGACAGATCTTACCATCCACTTTTACAGCAAACAGAAGCTCAGAAAAATTATGAGCTGCCCTGAGCCACACAGTGAAGGCAGAACCCAGCCGGCTCAGAACTGTGCCTTTGGACTGCCCTGCCAGTGCTTCTTCCAGTCTATAGTACTTAAGACTCAGCTCGACTATAGTTCGAAACACCTGCCTTAACTGTCAGAGACTGTATTCCCATTTCAAAACTAGAGGAATGTAAACAGAGACAGCATTATCCCCTGGAAGGGCAAGAACCAGGAGCTTCTGGGAACAAGATACTGATGAGTCAGTGGTGAGACCCTGTGCATGTAACATGAGTGAGAGATACGGACATGGGATGGCTTAGCCGCGACCAGGTAAGTCTACTGATGAGCGGGTAGAATGATCTTGAATATGCCTGTGACCAAGAGCTGGGTCCTGACACTGAATAAATGTCTATCGGATAAACATGATCTCACGTCTTAGACCATTTGACACCATCTGAATTCGTGTCAGCTAGCTCATAGCTCAGCCCCTTTGACATCCAAAGGTCAAGACAATCCCAGTTGCTTAAAAGGCCTTGATTTTCAATCACTGTGGCAAGAAGTTGGGTCATTCTGGTCATTACTAGTGTCACTAGAGGGAGAGAATTTTGCTCACAAGGCAATCTCTGGCACAAATTGCTTTATTAAATAAAATTCTTACATTTTCCCAGCTATTCTGATGGTGTTATTTTTTGCCATTTGATAAAACTTACTTTGGGGCTATGTTTTAAGAATGGCTTTCCATCAAGGTCCAGAAGACTTGTGATCTCAGAGCACATCTAGATGTCTTCTGACCTAACCTTTCCAAGGGTTCTGGTGTGGATGGTTCCGAGAACGGCCAGTATTGGATCCTTACCCTGCTTTCTGAGAGCAAGAGCCGCCTGAAGCATGGGGTGGTTGATCTTTGTTGCAGCCGCCTTGCCAAAGATTTGACTTACAGAGAAATTCTCAGGGAGGCGGATTCCAGAGTCCTGAGAACACTTCCTGCAGTTTTCTTCCATGAGTGGCACCCACTGTAAAAATGAATTCATAAGGGACTATCAATTCGTACAACCCTTTGTACAACCCCTTGCTGTGATCCAGCAATTCCACTCCTAGACACACACCCAACGGGAATGTCACCATTCCCAAAAGACATGTTCACCAAAAGACATGTACATACATGCACTATTCTAGGGCACTGTAGCAGCACTGTTCCTAACAGTCCCACACTGCAAACTACACAAATGCCCCTGTGATGGGCTGAATGGTGTTTCCCCCAAATTTATGTTGAAATCTTAACCCCTCATACTTCAGAATGTGACTACTCTTGGAGGTAGGGTCTTTAAAGAGGTGATTAAGATAAAATGAGGTCAGGAGTGGGCCCTAATCTAATCTGACTGGTATCCTGGTAAGAACAGGAGATTAGGACACACACACACACACACACACACACACACACACACACACACACAGGAAGGACTGAAGACACAGGAAGATGGCCACTACAAGTCAAGAAGAGAGACCTCAGAAAAAACCAACCCTGTCACACCTTGATCTTGGGCTTCAAGGCTCCAGAGCTTTGAGAAAATAAATTTCTATTGTTTTTTTTCTTTTTTTTTTAATTTTTTTTTTCAACATTTATTTATTTTTGTGACAGAGAGAGACAGAGCATGAACGGGGGAGGGAGACACAGAATCGGAAACAGGCCCCAGGCTCTGAGCCATCAGCCCAGAGCCTGACGCGGGGCTCGAACTCCCGGACCGCGAGATCGTGACCTGGCTGAAGTCGGACGCTTAACCGACTGCGCCACCCAGGCGCCCCAAATTTCTATTGTTTAAACCACTAAGTCTGTGATATTTTGTTACAGTGGGCCTAGATAACTAATATACTTATTAAGAGCAAAATGGATTACGATACATTTACGCACTATGATAGCAGCCCTATTTGTAATAGCTCACATTGAAAACTACCTAAATACCCAATAGCAGAATGATAGGCCATAAATGAACCCATGCATATGTGATCAAATAATTTACAACAAAAGAGCCGAGAATATACAATGGGAAAAGGACAATCTCTTCAATAAATGGTGTTGGGAAAATTGGACAGCAACATGCAAAACAATGAAATTTGACCCCATCCTACATCATACACAAAAATTAACTCAAAATGGATAAAAGACTGAAACCAAAAAACCCCTAGAAGAAAACATAGGTGGTAAATTCCTTGACATAGGTTTTGGTGATGATTTTAGGAATCTGACAACAAAAGTAAAAGCAACAAAAGCAAAAATAAACAAGTGGGACTGCTTCAAACTAAAAAGCTTCTACACAGCAAAGGAAGACATCAACAAAATGACAAAATGAAAAGGGAAACCTATGGAATGGAAAAAACATATCAGATATCACATATCTGATAAGGAGCTAATATCCAAAATACATAAAGAACTCACACAACCCAACAGCAAAAAAAAGCAAACAATCTGATTAAAAAACATATGGAAGATCTGAAAAGACATTTTTCCAAAGAAGACATACAGATGGCCAAGAGACACATGAAAAGATGCTCAACATGACCAACCATCAGGGATATGCAAATCAAAACCACAGTGAGATATCACCTCTCACCTATCAGAATGGCTTTTACCAAAAAGACAAGAAATAACAAATGTTTGTGAGGATGTAGAGAAAAGGGAACCCCTCCGCGCTGTTGGTGGAATGTAAATTGGTACGGTCACTGTGAAAACGATATGGAGGTTCTCCAAAAAATTAAAAATACAACTACCGTATGACCCAACATTCTACTTCTGGGTATTTATCCAAAGAAAACAAAAACACTAACTCGAAAAGATACCTGTACCCCCATGTTCACTGCAGCATTAGTTATAATAGCCAAGGTATGAAAACGAACCAGGTGCCCATCAATGGATGAATGAATGGATAAAGAAAATGTGATATATAAATACAATTGAATGTTATTCAGCTATAAAGAAGAACAAAAATTTTGCCATTTGTGACAATATGAAGTTCGAGGGCATTATGATAAGTGAAATAAGCATACAGAGAAAGAAAAATACCATATGATTTCTCTTACATGTGGAAACTAAATTAAAAACTGAAACCAAAACAAAACACCAAAAAAAAGCCAAACTCATAGATACAGAGAATATGGCTGCTAGAGGCAGGTGGGGGTAGGAGTGGGAGCAATGAATGGGGGGGGTCAAAATGATAAAAATAAGCCGGGTTGTTCTGGGTGTACAGTCAGTTGAACGCCTGATTTTGATTGCCTGTAATATCTCAATAGTGTTCACAGAGAGACTGAGCCCCATGTCGGGGTCTGCACTAACAGCTCACAGCTTGCTTGGGATTCTGTCTCTCCGTCTCTTTTCCCCTCCCCTGCTCATGCACTCTCTTTCTCTCAAAATATTATTTCTCTCAAAATAAATAAATAAACTTAAAAAAAAGACACAAATGCCAAAATGGATGCAAGATAAAATATAAAATGCAAATAGACCAAAGCCATTAAGGGAATTAAAAAAATAATGGAAGAATTCACCTTTCCATAAAAATAATAAAACTCTTCCAGGCTTAGACTATTATACAAGTAAAAATATATATATAGTTAAGTGGGAGAGTTACGTAAGTAGATTTGCATTTTAGGGAGGTCATCCTGGAAACAGTGAAGAGGGTTGGAGGAAGGGAGAATAATTAGAATTTTCACAAGTTCCCACCATCACAAATATCCACCTACTGGCATCTGTGGCCAAGAACTCCATCTTCCCTTCCGTTGCCATAGATAATGGTCTATTGCTCTTATCAAGTTCAACCCCTCCATCCAGATTCCATTCCTTTGGGCTTCAAGAACATGGCTCCATCGGGTCTCCCTTCCTTACTCCTCTATCAGCAACCTTCCTTGTTAGTGGATCATTGTCATCAGCATACAAGCATGTTGTTTTCATAAAGGAAACCTCTTTCCCCTCACACTACTGTCCCATTTTTCGGCCCCACTTTGCCTGAAAACTTCACGTAGTCTTCAACCCCTTTTTCTCATTCTTTCCTGAACATGCTCTGATCAGGCTTTCACCTCCACATTCCAGAGGCTCCTCTAGGCAATGTTACCAATGACCTCCACGTTGTGTTGCTGTATCTAATGGGCACTCGCCAGCCTTCTACCTGACCTAGCAGTTGCATTGATACAGATGACCGCTCTCTTCATCTGAAACTTGATAACTTCTTGGCTTTCAGGTCTCCTCACTCTCCTGATTTTTCTCTTACTGATGAAGATTCATTCTCCATCCCTCATTGCTGGGTCTTCCACATCAACCTGACCTTTAACATCAGAGTACCTGGGGGTCTGGATGCTCCATTTATACTTCCTTTCTCCACAATCATACTGAGTCCAATGGCATTAAAAGTGCCATCTACATGCTGTGTGTGTGTGTGTATTCATACTCAGCTTGGACATCTTTATTCAACTCTGGGTTTGCATATCCAGCTGCCTATTCTACATTCCATTTGGAGATCATTAAGCATTTCAAATTAAAATATCCCAAACTGGGCACCTGATTTCCCAGCCCCACAGTGATGAACAGCAACTGATACTTCTGGTTTGTTCTGGCCAGAAACCTTTTATCCTTCATTCCTCTCTCCTATTCACACTCGATCCATCAGGAAAACCTGTTGAATCTATGGGCAAACTATTCCAGACTCGGACCACTTTTTACCGCTTCCACCAACATTCCTTTAGTCCAAGCTACCGCCATCTCCCACCGAGTCAGGTTTTAAAAGTATCATTCAGGAGGTGGATCTGAGGTTTGTCCTCCCATCTTCTCATTTGACTGCCTCTCGAATAAACCTTTTCCTTGCTGTAAATACATATATATACTGTCACTTCACCACTCAAAATCTCCCAGTGCCTTTCCATCTCAGGGTGAAAAAAAAAGCAGAATGGATAAACAGATTGGAGTATATTCACACAATGGGATATGATGCAGCAATGAGAATAAAACTATCTATAACTACGCACAATAACATCTATGATTCTCCAAATATAAGGTGGAGGAAAAGATACCAGATACAAAAGAGTTCAGCTGCGTAGTGGTTCCATTTACATAAAGTACAAACAGTGATCTCTAAGGTTAGAAGTCCAGAAGTGTAATTACTCTTGGAGAGGGCCGTGTCTAGAAGGGGCATAAGTGGGGTGTCTACAGTGTTGATCATGTTTTATTTCTGGATAAATAAAACGTGCTGTCAGTGAAAATTCATTAAGCTGTACACTTGGTGTACCTTTCTGTCTGTGTTGCACACACAAATGATTAATTAAAAGATGACATTCCTTCCCATGATATGACCTTTTTATTTAAAAAAAATTTTTTTTTTCAACGTTTATTTATTTTTGGGACAGAGAGAGACAGAGCACGAACGGGGGAGGGGCAGAGAGAGAGGGAGACACAGAATCGGAAACAGGCTCCAGGCTCTGAGCCATCAGCCCAGAGCCCGACGCGGGGCTCGAACTCACGGACCGCGAGATCGTGACCTGGCTGAAGTCGGACGCTTAACCAACTGCGCCACCCAGGCGCCCCGATATGACCTTTTTAAAAGACAATTGAACCTAAGTAGCATTGATCCTTGAACAATGTGGGGTTGGAGGCACTGACCCCCCGTGCAGTCGAAAATGCACATATAACTTTTGACTCCCCAAAAGCTTAACTACTAATAACCTACTGTTGACCAGAAGACTTACTGATAACAGTTGATTACCACATACATGTTATATGTATTATATACTGTATTCACACGATGAAGTAGGCTAGAGAAAAGAACACATTATTAAGAAAATCCTAAGGAAGAGAAAATGCATTTACAGCACTGTATGTGCATTTATTGAAAAAAATCCACGTAGGGGTGGGCCCATGCTGTTCAAACGCACGTTGTTCAAAGGCCGACTGCTATTTGGTTTTTCAGGCCTGCTACACACAGACTAAAGGAGTCTGAATGGGTGCAGGGTTTTTATGGCAATTACAAGATACTCACTCTAGTATGTTCACTGAAAACATGTTGCACTTCCCTCTTTTCTTATCTTTCAACAATATTACTGCAGATTTTTTATTGACTTAGCATTTATTCTCAACAGTATCATTACTTTTCACTCCCCAGTGGCCACAGTGTGTGTGTGTGTGTGTGTGTGTGTGTGTGTGTGTGTGACATGTGCCTTCACAGAATAGGTATGCTTTTGCTTTCTACTACAGTGTGCCCTAAGTTCTTTGACAGACTAATAGGTAGCTGTAATCTGTAAAAAGTTTTTTTTTTTAATTAATTTTTTTTTTAACATTTATTCATTTTTGAGAGTGAGAGACAGAGCATGAGCGGGGGAGGGGCAGAGAGAGAGGGAGGCTCCAGGCTCCGAGCTGTCAGCCCAGAACCCGACGCGGGGCTCAAACTCACAGACTGTGAGATCATGACCTAAGCCGAAGTCGGACGCTCAACTGACTGAGCCACCCAGGCACCCCTAAAAAGTTTTAAAATATAGACTGTGTTCTCTGTGTGCTTATGAAAAAATTCTCAATAGCCTTTCTTCTTCCAGACACAAACAGAATTCAAGTGGTTTCAAATCCTGATTATTTTGTTAAAAAAACAATTGGGGGGGGCGCCTGAGTGGCTCAGTCGGTTATGATCTCGTAGTCCGTGAGTTCGAGCCCTGCATAGGGCTCTGTGCTGACAGCTCCTCCCCCACTCACACTCTGTCTCTCAAAAGTGAATAAACATTAAAAAAAATAATAAAAATTAAAAAAATAAAAAACGAGATTGTAGTAACAATAATAACTACTATTTATTGAGCACCTACTATGTGCCAGGCACTGTGCTAGACACTTTCCAAGCTTCCTAACAGCCTATGAAATAGAGAGTATACCACTCTCATTTTGACTGAGACTTTGACAGGTTAAGCAACTTGTTGGGGTCACAAAGTCTGTAAGTGGGAGCTGTGATTCAAATCCTGCGCTGATCTAGCAATCCCTTCTAAGGTATATATACCCAGAAGAATTGAAAGCAAGATGTCAAACAGATAATAATACACCCATGTTCACAGCACTATTATTCACAATAACCAAAAGGTGGAAACAACCCAATGTCCGTCGACAGGTGAATGGATAAACAAAATGTGGTCTACCCACACAATGGAAAACGAACCATCCTTAAAAAGGAAAGAAATCCTTTCACATGCCACAGCACGGATGCACTTTGAAGACACTGTGCTAAGGGAAATAAGCCAGTCACAAAAAGACAAATACGGCATGATTCCACTTAGATGATGTAGCGAGAGCAGCTACATACATAGAGACAGAAAGTTCAGCAATGGTTGCTGGTGGCTGAGGAAAAAGAAGGATGGGGAGTTCTTGTTTAAGGAGTATAGAATCTCACTTTTGCAAGATGAAGAGTTCTGGAAATGCTTGGTGGTGATGCATTCACAATATGAATATACTTTACATTACAAAATTATATCCTTAAAGCGATCAAGATGGTAACTTTTCTATTATGTGTATTTTGCCACAATTTAAGGTAAAAACAAAACAAAACAAAACAAAAGCTACTCTGGCTGTTGTAATTCCCTGGCATAGATCTTCAAAGGGTTGGAAATTTTCCAGTCATGGGGTATATCCTGCTGGCTGGCTGAAAGAGACAATACACCAGTCTTAAATATCTCTTTGTGTGTCTCTGGGCCTCCATACCAGTCTCAGGAGGTAAGTACTAGAAGGGGTAAATGGGTAAAGCAAACGTGAGTTTGCCCTCAGGGAGCTTCTAGTCAGTACGGGAGAATGGGTGTGTGGGCACAGAATGCCTTCTCAGGAAGGTGGGGGGCGGTCTATGAAGTTTCCCCTTACCTGGGAATATGTGATCTCTCCCCTCATGAGGCGGGCACTGGGACCATCTGGGCCTCCTTTCTGGAAAGCTTCATTCAGAAAGCCTCTGGAAGACGCAAAGGAACAACATCACCAATGTTCTGATGACTTCATCACAGCACCACGTAGGGGACGGACACTATTTATATCCACAAACTGCTGTTAGAAAGGCATTCTGCCATGAAGGGGGAAATGCAAAGTTCAAGTTGGAATCTTAGTCTGAAAGTGCAATCCAACTGTGACATGAGACCATAAACTAAATGATGAATATGCCCACAGGTGAAGCAGCTCATGGGCGACCACGTAGCAGAGACTCTTCAACTGGTCTTACTTAAGGGACAAAATCAGACCAGATATGCAGTCATTCCTGTTTTCAGGTCATTTGCACATGGCATCGCTCCCAATGACTGCTTTATTAGTACATATTCTTCAAAGGGAATGAAATATTTTTTCTGGTTTTGATTCTGAACATAGTTTCTTCTTCCTTCCTTCCTTCCTTCCTTCCTTCCTTCCTTCCTTCCTTCCTTCCTTCCTTCCTTCCTTCCTTTCTTTCCTTCTAAATAGATTCCACTCCCAATGTAGGGCTTGAACTCACAACCCTGAGACCAAGAGTCACACACTCTACTGACTGAGCCAGCCAGATGCCCCCAACCATATAGTTCCTATTTCATTTTAATCTTATTTAAGTTTTAAAAAGTTTTCTCATGTCATGAGCTAAATTGTGCCCTCCCCCAATTCATATGTTGGAAGTCCTAATCTCCAGTACTTCAGAATGTGACTGTATTTGGAGACAGGCCTTTAAAAAGGGGATTAAAGGGGCGCCTGGGTGGCGCAGTCGGTTAAGCGTCCGACTTCAGCCAGGTCACGATCTCGCGGTCCGTGAGTTCGAGCCCCGCGTCGGGCTCTGGGCTGGTGGCTCGGAGCCTGTTTCCGATTCTGTGTCTCCCTCTCTCTCTGCCCCTCCCCCGTTCATGCTCTGTCTCTCTCTGTCCCGAAAATAAATAAAAACGTTGAAAAAAAAAAATTAAAAAAAAAAAAAGGGGATTAAGTTAAAATGAGGTCATTAAGGTGGGCCCTACACCAAAAACTAACTGGTGTCCTGAGGAGCAATCTGGGCACAGACATGGACAGAGAGAAGACCATGTGAAGACACAGGGAGAAGACAGCCATCTACAAGCCAAGGAGAGAGGCCTTGGGAGCAACCAGCCCTACCACCACCTTGATCTCGGACTTCTAGTCTCTGGAACTGTTGTGGAAGCCACCCGGTCTGCGGTACTTAATAATGGCAGCCCTAGTTATCTAACACACCTCAGTTCACATTCATCCCTTATACACAGACCCAAGGAGTAGTAGACACAGAGGGAGAGAGGTCAGCTAATTACCTTTTCACTTCCCTATACTACAAAATATAAGTTTCCATTCCGATTTCCTGATAATTTCCCGCCCCCAGCGGTGGATGAGCTACCCTCACAGGGCTGGCTGGGCGACATCAGACAGATGAAGGATGGGACATACATGGCAGTGGCACGTACACACATCTCTGCTCCCCCATCCCCCTGGCTGATGTGGATAGTCTATCACCACATCCTACTCCATTGAGTCCAAATACCAATGTGCAATCCTTCTTAATACAGTGCCCCAGGCAAAATATTTACAACGGACTGGAATTGGCAAGCCAGTTAAAATTATTTGCCATGCGCAAGACGACAAACATCTCGAATCTGGGAGTTTCATTTCTGATAACAGTCAACCTACCTTTTATGCAACTAACCCTCTTGCAGGTAACAAGGATCAACTTTGCACAAAATATACATAGATATATTTCTAGTACTTGCAGCCTTGTTCAACTTTCCAGTAATAACAATGGTGTTGCCACACCTTTGCTGTCAGTTGTCTTTTTGTAATTTATTTTTCTTTTTTTTAAGATTGTGTTTTTAAGTAATCTCCGCACCCAACATGAGGCCCCAACTTACAACCCTGAGATCAAGAGTGGCCTGCTGTACTGACTGAGCCAGCCAGGCACCACCTACCCCAGTTGTCTTTTTTTTTTTTTTTTTAAACTGTTATTAAATGGCAATTACAATACCATCAAATTCACATTTTAAGTGTATGATTCAATGATTTGTAGTAAATTGTATTACAAAGTTGTGCAAACATCAGCACATTCCAGTTTTAGAACATTTCCATCACCCCAAAAGATCCCTCTAGTTTGTTTTAAGTTTATTTATTTTGAGTTGGGGGGGAGAGAGAGATCCCAAGCAGGCTCCACAGTCAGCACAAAGCCTGATGTGGGGCTCGAACCCACAAACCATGAGATCATGACCTGAACAGAAACCAAGAGTTCAACCAAAAGTTTGTTTAAGCAACTGAGCCATCCAGGCACCCCTGCCTTCCAGTTTTAAGAATCAAGAGACAATTCAACTCAACAACCTTTTATTGAGCACCTAAGGTGTGTAAGACATCGTGCCAGGTGCTGTGATATAAAAATGGAAAAACAGGATTGTATTCTTAAGGAGCTTATGGGGAACAAGGGAGGCAACCTATAGACAAATAACTAACACGTTGGATGAGTAGGATGGAAAGCAAAGGGAAAATTACTTTTGTGCCTGGAGAATGTGGGCTGATAAAAGAAAAGGAGCTGAGGGAAGAATATAATTGTAGACGAAGGAGGTACCAATGTATCTAAAACCACATCAGGCAATAATAATAATAATAATAGCAATCTGACATAAGAACATTGTTGAATTTGAAACCACGATTTCCAAATTCTAAGGGTGGCTAATAAGAGCCACGAATGGTGAAATAGCCATTACAGAAAATGAAATTAGTGAATCAAAAGGCACGATACATTTTTCAAGGACAAATAGTAAAATGATGAATTAAAGTTAATAAGCAAAAAGATGAGACCTGAGAGGCCAAATGCCTTCCATAAACAAACAAGAATTCTAGAAGGATAGGGACACCTGGGTGGCTCAGTCAGTTGAGTGTCAGACTTCAGCTCAGTCATGATGATCTCAGGGTCTGTGGGTTCGAGCCCCACGTGGGGCTCTGTGCTAACAGCCCAGAGCCTGGAGCCTGTTTTGGATTTTGTGTCTCCCTCTCTCTCTGCCCCTCCCCTGCCCGCACTCTGTCTCTCTGTCTCTATCTCTGTCTCAAAAATAAACATTAAAAAAATTTCTTTTTTTAACTTAAAAGAATTCCAGAATGATAGATCTGAGAAGCAATACAGCAATAACAGGAGAGCATTTCTCAGCACTGAAGAAAGATTTGAGTCCTCAGGTCAAAAGTATACCAATTACCAAGGCAAAATTAATGAAAAATAAAAACACAAAAAGACCCCACAACAGGCATATGTTGGAGAACTATGTCAATTCCTAGGATAAAAAAAGGGTAACAACCTTTTTACAGAAAAACAGATTTACACAAAAGAAAAACAATTCAAGCTAACATTAGTTGTCTATCTGCAACTTTAAGTGTCAGAAGATTGTGGAGGAACCACTCACTAGACACTGAGATAAAAAGAAACAGCCCAAAAATTCTAGCCCCAGACAACTTTTTTTTTTAAGTTTATTTACTTTGAGAGAGAGAGACAGAGAAAGAGAGAGAGAATCCTAAGCAGGCTCTACACTGTCAATGCAGAGCCCAACACAGGGCTCAATCTCACAACCGTGAGATCAGGACCCAAATCAAGAGTCTGGACGCTTATCTGACTGGGCTACCTAGGTGCTTCTAGCTCCAGACAATTTATTATACATTTGTGAAGGCAACAGAAAATCTCAGCCATGTAAAAGTAATGTTTACCATCACATGCCTTGCCAGGAAAAAAAAAGAAAGAAAGAAAAAATTCAAGAAAGATTTCCAGTCAACTTAACATAGATCAAAGTAAAAAGTTGAGAACAGGACAAATGCAGTTTATAAGAAATTGGAAATTTAAGTTTTTAAAAATATCATTTGTCATAGCATTAGAAGAAAACAACTAAATCTAATGAAAGAATTTTGAGACTTCTACACTGAAAACTACAAAACTAAGAGAAATTAAAGACCTCAATAGATGGAGAGATCTGCATCAAGTTCATGAATCAGGAGACTTAATATGGTTCACGGAAGATTCTCACCAAACTGATATAAAGATTCAATTCACTCCAATCAAAATGCCAGCAGATTTTGTGTATAAGTGTGAAAATTGACACACTCATTATAAAATTTATCTGGAAACACAAAGGACACAGAACAACCAAATAAATCTTCAAGAATAAATACGAAGGATTTATATTATAAGATTTTAAGATTTGTTATAAAGCTATAATAATTATGACAATGTGGTATTATTGCAAACATAGACAAATTATCAAATATCAAATTAATATAACAGGGAGGCTAGAAATAGGCCTCCACATATATGGTCATTTGATTTTTCAACAAAGACACCACTAACATTTAATGTAGGAAAGATTTTTTTCATTAAATGGCATTACAGCAACTGAATATCCATGAGTGGGGGGTGGGGGGGGGGCTTCACACCATTTACAAAATTTGTTTTGAAGTGGAACATAGACCTAAATGTGAAAGTTAAAACAATCCAGCTTCTAGAAGAAAAAGCAATATGGGCCGTCTGGGTGGCTCAGTCAGTTAAGTGCCTGACTCTCGATTTCAGCTCAGGTTATGGCCTCAGGGTTCATGAGTTCCAGCCCCACAACAGGTTCACGTTCTCTCTATGCCTCCCCCACGCATGCACACTCTCTCTCAAAATAAATAAGTAAACTTAACAAAAAAGAAGAAAGAGCAACATCTTCATGACCTTTAAGTAAGCAAAAATTTCTTAAAAGGACACAAGAAGCACTAACATAAAACAAAACAATGATAAATTAGATGTCATTAAAATCAAGACTTTCTGTTCATCAAAGACATCATTGAGAAAGTGATGAGTAAACCATACACATGGAGATGTTTGCAATATATACATATGACAAAGGACTTCTATCAAGAATATAAAAAGAATCCTAAATCTTTTCTCAATAAGGGAAAGATGACCCTATTGAAAAATGGGCAAACAACTTAAACAAGAAT